GGGGTCCCAGGAGGGGGCAGTCAGGGGACAAGGAACGGGGGGAGGGTTGGGGGTTCTGAGGGGAGCGGGAAGTGGGAGGGGCAGGGGCGGGGCCAGGGTGTGGCTAGGGCGGGGCTCCTCCCGTCCTCTTTTTTGCTTGCTGAAATATGGTAACCCTACATCCACGTTACTTTTGTCATTTGAGAACTATAATGACTTTCCCCAGTTTTGACTCAGAAGCCTTTAGCCTGACTAGCTCAACAATTTGAATATTGGTTATGTAGCAATGATGTTTCAGTTATACAGACAATTGCTTTATTTACCTGGTCAAGAAAAGACTTATGTGAAATTAATTTTCTTTATAGCCTAAGTGGATCAATTTATTCTTAACTTTTTAAATTTCATTTTTGTTATACAGGGTGTTTTAAAAGTTAAGGAGAAGGGTAGAATCTGTGTTTATCTTCTGTACTGTGATTATTTAAAAATTTGTATTTACTCTGTTGAGTGTTCTGGTTAATTACTAAGACACTATCCTAACATTTGATTTGCATTTGCAATTCCATACAGTCTTTATTGTCATTAAAAGCTGGAGTCTTTCAAAGAAACAGTTGCTTCATGCTGGCCACTAAGCACAAAAGTTCTTTCAGAGTTTCAGTGAATGCCCCACAACCCCCACTGAAGTTCTAATTGTGCTCTTAATGGGTTTTCCTCTCAATCACAGATATCTGTTTACATTTTGAACTGTACAGTCCCAATAGTAAGCAACAACAGACAAAACACCAACTACCTTCTCTTTGCTTCTTCATATCGGAGGCGTAATCTGACCTTCTCAGCCAACTGATTATTAGTGCTTGTGATAAACTAGGAAATAAAGTATAAAACCAGTGAATTAATAAACAGCTATTGTGCCTTGAGACATTCTATATTCAAATTGTAATGCTGCTAACTTGTCAATTGAATTAAATTCATAGATTCGAGAGGTGATCAGACTGAAAATTGTTTCCTTTGATTGATTTTTTATGATTATGTGCTTCAGGTGTCTAAAAACTGATATAAGATGCAAGAGTTATCTTGCTCTCCAGTTATAGAGTACAGCAGAATCTGACTAATTCACATCTATGTTTGGGGCCCAGATTTTTCCCCCTTTGCATTTAAAACTACAGTGGAGGACTTTTTGCAAGGTAATTTTTACTATCTCCCTCTTCTGAAATGTTACAATATGTTTTGTGTTGGTCTGCCTTATTTAGATTGAAAAATCTTTAGGGTAAGGAACATAATGGCTATTAGGACTGGGCTGATAGATGCCTTACACAAATAGAACTACAGTAGTAAGAACTATTCACTCAAGTGAGGATTTGCAGGATTGGTCATGATGATACCAAACCTGCCATCTGAGCCACATGGGTTGTCCCGGCTGCACCTGTGCAAAGTTTGCCTGCGCTGATCCGATTGCCAGATCAGAGCCCAATGTTTGTACAGCACCATGAAAGTTTATAATTTTAATATGAGACCATACTACAGCAACCTGCTATTAAATCTTACTAAGACGTGGCAAGAAGCCACCTTTTTCATGTGCAAAAGTCAAGATGTGTGGATTAGAAGGCTTCAATATATCTTTGAAAGTTAAGGATGTTAATCAACAGACATTAGAAGAATTCACCCCAAGGAATCATTAATTTTAAAGCCCTAAGGATTTTCACCTATTCCATAATTCCCATTTACAATAATAGGATCGAAGGGTAAAGTACACTCTTGTGAAGAGGGCCAGCACAAGGGTTATGCACCACTTAAGTGCCACCTATGTTTTTAAGGGGTGCATAAGGCTGTGATTGTCCTCTACGCAGGGTTGCATTGTAACAAATTGTAACAAAGAGTTGACATTTTTAAAAAATTGGTAACATTACTCATTTTCAATTCAAATTCCCAGCTAGTAGAAACTAACTTCACAAATGACCTAGCCCTGCAAGTTTGTAATCTTCCTCAAAGCTAAATCCATAGGTAGCCTCAAAACGTTCCCTATGTCATAATGCTTGCCTTATAACAGAAGGGTTAACAGAATATTCCATGCCTCAAGGAAGAAATATTTAGGGGAAGGAAAGGGTGAGATCCACAAAGAGACTTAGGCTTTGCAACACTGAGCATCATAGTGCCTAACTTTTAGGTGCCTAGAAAAAAAAAATCACAGGAATAACGCTGGAATCCCCAAAGCTGAGTTAGGTGCCTATAAAATGCATGGGGAGAGATAGAGGCCTTAGAATGTGATCCACAAAAGCCAACATGCCAGGCAGGGAGCTGCCAAAGCTAGCCAATGGGAGATGCCAATCAGAGGGATATATGTTAAGTCCCGCCCTGTTCACAAATATAGGAGCCTAAGTCTAGACTGTAGGGAGGCGTTTATCTCTGCTTGAGATCCACAAATCGGAACCCACCTCCTCGAGTCACGGGGTTTAGACGCTTTAGCTGCTTCTTGCTGCACATGGACTGGCCAGAGGAGGAGGAGGAGCTGCTGCTGCCACCCACCTTATAACTTTTAGCCCAGTGGTTAGAGCACTCCTCTGGGACTGGGAGATCCAGGTTTAGCAGGAGAGGAAGGTGGGAAAACCCAGCTCAAATCCTCTCAGGAGGATGCTCTAACTCATGAGCTATGTAATATTCTGATGGGGGGCTCCCTCAGTCTCCTACTGAAGCTGCTCCACTGTGGCAGAATAATGAAAGAGTGATTGGAGCAGGGGGACCAGACCCAAGGTCTCCCACCTCCTAGATGGGTGCACTAATCACTGAATTATAGAGCCACTCTCCCACACTCAGGCCCAATGACTATTAGGCAGAGAGGAGGAAGGGAGGGAGGGAGGGAAGAGAGAGAGAGAAAAATCTCTGTAGTCCAGTGGTAAGGGCCCCCACCTGGGAGGTGGGCGACCACTGCTCAAATCATCTTTCCCCTGCTGGCAGAGAGGGGAGAATTGAACCTGGGTCTCCCACCTCCCAGGCAAGTGCTTTAACCACGAGGCTAAAAGTTGTAAGTTGGGCAGGTGCCACCACCACTACTACCTCCTCCATTTTGCCATCAAATGAAACGTCAATGAAAACCACACTGATGTTGAAACTTTGAAGGCCCATCAATTAATAGTTATTTGCCCTAGACTGAAGACTTGCAATATGGCAACACTGATCCAGTGCAGAGGAATAATTTTTGCATGTGTTTGTGTCACATGTTACTTACATTTCCTGAAACATCTGTTTGGGAGCTAACATCCAGATACTGTGGAGGTAATAAGGCTGCATTGCTGTCCCACAGGTCTGACTGTGATCCTCTGTCAGTCACAAAGCCATCCTTTAACCTGGCTAAGCTCTAAAACAAGAATTCACAAAGTCATCTCTTTTCTTGCTAGAAAAAATATCACCTGCTGCACAACAACATTACATTGAATGAGATATTTAAGCTTGAGTAAAAATCACAGTGACCCTTCTTTGATAAAAAGTTCCTTACTGGGAACATGCGTCTTAGAGCAAGCTTTTCTTTTATGTTCTTGCTCTCATTTTAGAGATCTGGGGATAATAAAGTGATTTAATTGAAGCCAATGTCACATCATACCATCTTTGAGTTTGTGATCAATAAATAAAACCAAAAGGATGACAGTTCCACTCCAAACGTGATGTTGGTCATTTTATATTAACCCCTAAACTAATAATTATATTCTTTGAAATAAAAGATTTAGTCTGCCCTAGATATTGTGAACATTTCCGGTTACATCAGATCAACTTTGCAAGAGTGTTTCAAGGATATGCCTTGTCCTTTCCATCAATAGCTCATTATTTAAAATTATTTCAGTACCTGAATGAGATCTTGTTTTTCTTTCTCTCCTGAAGTGATTGCTTTCTTGATAGCTTTCATTTCACTTAATATGGCTTGCGCTTCATCAAGTTTGTATCCACCTTGAGTATCAGACATTTTCATATCAATTCTGCATGAAAAGTTACAAAATAAAAAGAGGAAAGAGATTTAAAACACTCAAGATATGCCCAAAATAATTTAGGCACGTGACACTGTAGCTCAAGTTTATTAAAGAAATTTTAAGTGAACGCGTTTCAAATGCTAAAGCACATGCAACTTTTTGTGTCCACTTCCAAGCATGTAAACATTCTTAATCATGGGCTGTCCTCACCCATTGGAAGGAGAGAACAGAGTTAGTGAATGATCATGGTTCTTTTCCCCTTTTGAATAAGTTACTTCATGATATGCAGTTACATTAACCTTGAGAATTCCACTATTCTGAAGCTAACTAAGAGGGGCTACTTTAATGCCATCCCTTTGGTTTTTGACATGCTGACAATGAGAAACAAGTGCAGTGAAATAAAATTCCTACTATTGCCAACATTATATGTTGGGAGTCAAATTCCAAATGAATTACTCCAAACTGATGCCCATATAACAAGAGCAGAATCTGGACCACAGATGCTTTTACTTGTCTTCCTTCATGTGTTTGGAAATGTCAAAAGAACTAACTTATTGAACATGTCTCTCCCATCTCTGTGATAACTTACAGCTTGACACTGCAAACACTGTTTGCAATGCTCACCGTACTCAATTGTCCTATTCACAATGTAATAAGCATTTTCAGAATTAGAGGGTCCAAAAGTCATGTTCCAGAAAGCACCTGGCTTAGCTGAAAAGTTAAGATGAATCTTCAGATCTGGTGTTTTCAGATGTCTCAAAATTGTAGAACATTACAAGGATTTCTCCACATGGACAACAGCAGGATCAGTCTAAATTTGTATTCAGAATGGTACCAGGGAGACACTTTTGGCATGAGTTTTATAGAATATGCCCTTAATTAGTCTCCAGGTACTGGGCATGTTGCTATTTCGATATCTTCAGGATGAAGGAGCTCCTGTGGTTTTCTACATCACTTATGTTAGTAGAATATAAATCAATGTATTTTACAATGTACATTACAAAAACATGCAAGTAAACTTGTATAACCCAAGGACTATGGCAGGGGTTGGCAACGTTCGGCACGCAGCCTGCCAGGGTAAGTACCCTGGCGGAGCCGGGCCAGTTTTATTTACCTGCTGATGCGGCAGGTTCAACCGATCGCGGCCCCCACTGGCCGCGGTTCGCCATCCCAGGCCAATGGGGGCGGCGAGAAGCCGCGGGCAGCACATCGCTCGCCCGTGCCGCTTCTCGCCGCCCCCATTGGCCCGGGACGGCGAACCGCGGCTAGTGGGGGCCGCGATCGGCCGAACCTGCCGTGTCAGCATGTAAATAAAACTGGCCCAGCCCGCCAGGGTGCTTACCCTGGCGAGCCGCGTGCCTAACGTTGCCGACCCGTGGACTATGGTATTCCTGAATGCCAAATAAATCTGAAAATTGCGACATAAAGTGTCAGCTTAGTGCTCCAAAGTTAAGAGTATCAGACACATTTTAGCAGCAAAATGAGGCTAGTGTCACCTCAGCGAGAGTACAAAATTAAAACATACAAACCCCCCTCACTGTACTCTCTTCTCAATTCTAGTATAAGAGCTTTGTACTTCCGAGGACTAAGAAGGACCACCACAGATAGGGGGAGAGTAAGAGGAAGTATTTGCCTAGAACAGGGATCGGCAACCTTTGGCACGCAGCCCATCAGGGAAATCCACTGGTGGTTCGCCGTTTCAGGCCATTGGGGGCTGCGGGAAGTGGCGTGGGCAGAGGGATGTGCTCGCTGCCACTTCTTGCATCCCCCATTGGCCTAGAACGGCGAACTGCAGCCAGTGGGAGCAGCGATCGGCCAAACCTGCGGACGCTGCAGCCCACCAACGGATTTCCCTGACCGGCCGTGTGCCAAAGGTTACTGATCCCTGACCTAGAAGTATGGCTGTTGTTACTACTTCAAACAGCAGCAGGCAGAGATCTGCAGCCTGTAGGGAGGTTGTGGGGGCATCTGCACAGAACTATCATACAGTGAGTTATGCTTAATATATTTGTACAGGATTGATTGATGTACTCCAACATTTTAAAACAGGTTAAGATGTAAATACCACTTAGGCATTAACAGACACAAATATTGTTCACAAATATCTTCAAGCCACAACTAGTACACACTCCACCTCTCTGCCTAAAGTGACAATTACAGATTCCACAACCCATTGAAAGCTAATCATCCATTTTAGGTTTCTTGATGATACAGGGCCTGCATTTCGGTAGGGCTTCAGCGTGGTTTCTGCTAGTCCTGGGACTTTTGTCATGCTAGCACCTGGGTGCAAGCATGAAAAATGTGATTTGCATACACAAATGTCATCATCCAAACACATTGTTAGAACATACCACTTACACTAGTAGGTGCTAGTGTAACAAGGTATATGCAAGAATAAGCCAAGACTGAGATCTGGAGTATGCCAGAGGTCTTTGACATCTGCAAAAGGCAGACAAATCCATGCAATAGGAATTCCTTTTCTTCTTCCTCCATAGTGGTGCCCTAGCAGAGATTTTTCTCTCAATACTGCCCTCCCTTGAAAAGCATGGACTCTGACAAACTTAAGAGTCTTCCTATACGCTACCAGAAAATAGAAATCAAACTCCATGAAGTTAATATATCCTTCCTTCAAAGTGTCATTAACCAAATCCTCTTGGTTAATGACAGGCAAAGTGAATCTTTGCACATTTTCCCTGCTTCCACATTGGAGATCTTCCTTCAGTAAACAGGATAATTTTATTTTCATAGAATCATAGAATATCAGGGTTGAAAGGGACCGCCGAAGGTCATCTAGTCCAACCCCCTGCTCAAAACAGGGCCAATCCCCAGACAGATTTTTGCCCCAGATCCCTAAATGGCCCCTTAAAGAATTGAACTCACAACCCTGGGTTTAGCAGGCCAATGCTCAAACCACTGAACTATTCCTCCCCCCCAATTCTCCTTGAATTCATCACAATAGGAGAAAGATTGGTGGGTTTAGATTTAAGAAGCCTCTGATAGAAACTGTGAAAAAGTCATTTTTGTGCAGCACCTAGCACAACAGGGTCCTGGTCCCTCAAGTAAGGGTTCTAGGATGCATGGTAATATGAATTAATACTCCTCAGAGACGTGACATATATCTGAAACCAATATAGTAGTGGCTAAGCAACTGGTTTGTAAATTACAGAGGAAAGATTTCCTATAAATTTGTATGGAAACCAGTTTCGATATGTTCTGCATATTAAACAGGGCACAGACGTCATGTTCAAGTGGTGTATTCTCTTCAACAGAAGTAGGCTGAACAACTTGACAGCTGGTCTTTCCCTCCTCCCAGGGGAATTCTACTGAGAGGAGCTGGCACATCTATGAATTTGTAAGTGGTAAAAATTAACCACCTACACTATATGCCTCATTACTTAAGAAATGCCAACTGTTATTCCTACACTGGTAAGCATCAGGGTCCTTGTCTTTTTACAGCTTTTTCTCAATGCCCCTAAAAACAATGACCCCTTGAATCAAGACCCTGGGCCCTACCATGACATCAGTGTTAAGCAGTACTAGATGCAATGGGCAGTACTGTACTTTAAATGATGACATAATGTGGCCTCGTGACATTGTTGGAAGTGCTTTTTGGAGTTAAGTCAGTTTGTACATGCTCACATTTGCTACACTAGCACTCACATGCACAAGTGACAGATTCTAATATGTGCTGTGTGTACTGCTTTTCGAGTCTGTCAGTTGTGTGCCCAGATGTTAGCACCCTAGGAGCACGCACAGGCAGAGAAAACGCTTTCTTTATTCAAGCAGCTAAAGAACCAGGGAGAGGGGGTGGGAAGGGAAAGAACTTTTCACCAGAAAATAAGATTGTGCATTAAACTTACTTCTTTAGTGTCTGGAAGCCATGCTCTTTGTACTGCAGTTCTTGCCTCATATGAGCTACCTCTCTCTTCAATTTATTAACCTGTAGTAATTGGAAGAGCAAAGTGTTACATTTTCAGACTGATACATCCATTAAGATTAAAGGCACGGTATTATCCACACAATCAGAACATGCTTAATCAGGATGGTCACTTCAGGCTGAATCTCCTAGAATATCAATTTAGCACAACAGTGAATAGCCATAACTACTACTTCATCTGGGCAGTATTATAAAATCACTCTTTAGTTCCTAGAAGTTATGTGGTATCAAGTTAGGTGCAAGAGATGTGAAATTCATATAAAGATTAAAAGGAGACAAATATGGAATGTCATTTTTATTCAATGTTTAACATCTTTACTGACTTTTTAAAAATGATTAAATAATAAGACAGCTGCTTAATTGCAATAATATAAGCCACCTACTGGGCTGTCCCAGTTAAGAAATTTCATTGTACAACTAACACCGTGGGAAGGTCATGCAAATTGTAAATACATAGATCCTGTAGTTTTCTCTATTATGCTCCTTCATAGAAGCCTGTCTCACCTGCTTTAGATTGAGAACAAAAATGACCAAAAGTAAAGTCTCCATGAGTCTGCACCGAACTGAACACAAAATAGCTACCCATGTCTGGAGACCATTCCTAGATATTTGAAATTGCAGTACAAAATCACCACCTAGTTAAATATCTGATAATATCTATAGCAAAATATTCTCTATCAGCTTTCAGGCAAGCTCAAAGCTTTCAAGAAAAATGTGGGATAGTTGAACTCTGGGACACTGACTTCAGAGAATTTCTGATAATATATATTCTAGATTAAGGGCAGCAGCATTAGTTCACTCAGCTGCCTTGGCATCTCCTTTAATATTTAACATGAGGTTTTGAAGCTTCTTAAGATCATTAGCGGAAAGCAAAGGTCCATTTGTACTTCTTACCCTGGATTTTGTAGTAGCAATTTCAGCTTTAAGAATCTCCGGGTCATATTTAGAACTAGACGATGAGCCAGAGTGCACTGGAATGAAGAGAATATGTTGAATTAAGAATTCTATTTTACGTTAGGGTGAGCTTTACAACACATCACACAAATCTGAAAGGAGGACTCCAATACTGTACACACAACCTGAAGATTCAATATTTATTCTCTGAGCCCTAATGCTCTTTCCTGAGGAGACCAATTTATTTGTTTTCATCTTCTCTGCTTCACTTCATGCTCCAACTCTCTCCCCACATTCTGAGTGAAACAAGACTTCCCCCAGCTCTCTCCCACCTCAAGATCCTTTTCTCCCCACTATGCTAGTTCTGCACCTTTTCTTCCAGTGTGACAGCACCCAGCAGCATGGTCAAATAATCGCACTGGGAATGCATGCCAGAGAAAATTGGAGATGCAGATCATGCTCCATCTGTAAGTCCTGATCTGGCACCAGTTCCCAGCAATCAAAATCCCTTCCTTCTACTTGGCACAGTGCCCAAACACTAGGTCCATGCCCAGTTGCTTGGTCTCCTGAAATACCAAATCCATTAACAAAAATAAAACACTCACACCACACCCCAGAGGTGATTGGTAGGAGTGGAGAGGGGAGAGATGGTTGGGAGGAGTGGGGGGAAAGAGATTGTATGTAGGATTTCAATTTTAAAATAGGGTTTTCTTGTAAATTAATCCATCAAATACACAACATAACAAGAAAACTGAAGAATGCAATACAGCCTTCTGAAGGGCCTGAGGATGTGGCAGACCATAGGATGTGCCGCAGTGGATTAGTAGGGTTACCATATTTAAAAATAAAAAAAAGAGGACACTCCATGGGCTCTGGCCCCGCCCCGTCCCCCCGGGCCCATTCCCCACCCCTTTCCCCAAAGTCCCCGCCCTAACTCCCCC